GTAACAAGTTAAATCTCTACGGTGATCTAAAATTAACGTGAAAAACAACTGAAGTTTCAATATATTCTCGAATCGTCCCAATCAGAAATGGATATGAGTCACGTAGAAACGAATTTCCTAATTCGTCTGAGTTATTCGATACAATGTTCTAGTTCAGGTGTGACACTAATCTGTAAAATGTAAAGTTATTGTTTTTTTCTACTCTATGATCAACATACCAAATCTTTATAAATTTCTCTCTTCTTCTAAATATAAATATGCTACAACTGGAAAACTAATTTACAATATATACAAAAGTGTAAGAAGGATGTAGAACGGTTAAGCACGATTGCATTTACTTTACGACAGTCTCGAGGCGCTTAGACAAGGTAAGCGATTTTTTTGAACGTTTATATGAAATTATCCGAAATATTTGTCTTGCAAATAACATTCGGTAAAGAGTTCAGTTTCCCGAATAAAAAACAGAATATATCACGGCCGATACAATTAGAAGTGTTATAAAAAAAAAGGTTCTTACGTTATCGGACTAAATCAAATCTTTTGTACTGGTCAGAACTCGCTTGAAACGAGTTTTGTGCTTACAGAAGAGCGTTCTTTCTGAGCAACGACTGAGGGAATACTATAACTGCTACTTAAACACGATCAAAATATGTATGCTTCTGTACAGCGAAATATAGTCTTATTGTTCATTATTAGAATGTATATATACGGCGTTATTTTACTATATCTCTATATAGATAATCAACCACTTTATCCACGTAAATACTCTGACATGCACATGAAATGCTGACGTGTATGCCAGAGTATTCACAGTAACTTCAATAAAGTATTACGAGGAAGTACACGAGTAAAGAATGAAGTCAAAAGCGAAACAATCAATTTTGACACGATTAAAGGGGATTATCAATGACGATTGTACTAAATTCTAGTCCATACTGACTAAGAACCGCGGATTATGCATGAATAATTCGGTAGGAAACCTGAAAATTGTAGAGTTTTTTTTACAACTCTTATGTACAGATGGATTCGAGTGTTTCTGGCTTCATCTGCTCCCATGCTATTTGTTCAGCGTGTCCGTTCATTACCAGTTCTTCAGTGAGGGAAATCAGCTTTAAAAAATTTAAACAATTTCAGTCAATTTATTTGCATCCGCAAAAAGATTTTCGGATAACAATGACTTACCCCATAATTTTGTATCATAAAATAAATATTTGTATAAATATTAGTTTGAATGCGACCTTCAATCTGTGCTTGAGCAACTCCCTTTGAGGAACAACTTTGTACCACATTGTAAGCTTCTGCCGACCATTTACCTACAGGAAGAGCAATATCAAAGTATAATTTTAAACCAAAGGTAAATAATTTGAAATGAGACGTACAATCTGGAAAAAGAATATACATACATGTAACATGTGTACATATAATTACCGTTCTTTGGCTGAATTTTTGCTAAAAAGACTTCAATCGCTTGAAAGGGCAGGCTCAAATAATTATATAGCAACGGCCTACATTGCGAATTGCTAAACGGCCAGTAACCACCGTTATCGAGTAGTCGTATTAAGTGTCTCTCTCCTGATGGGTCTGGACGTTCAATGTATCCTCTAACCCATTTGTCGCACCAATATACAGCCACGTAATCACCTCCTGCAATGCAGTGTATTTCATTAGTCGGAATATCCTTCATTTTGCTTCTTCTATTTATGCATCAAGATTATATCGCTTACTGTTCAACACATCTGGAACTGGCAGCAGTTCGTTGTTATAGCAAAATGTCATGTTGTCTTCTAAATTTTGCAAAAGAGGAAATGATGGGTGAGTCGGCAGCTGAACAAAGAGCCAGTTTGGCTTGACAATGTGAGAGATGTTGATGTCATTATTAACACCCTCAACCAGGGACAGGGGCCACTGTATAAGGACATTGTACGCAACTTCTACATTCACCTCGGGTACCGTCGAGATATCCGCTAGTGTCACCTGCGGGAACCTTTTCTCTGGAAACTTCTGCCTTATCATTTTAAGCGCGATTTTAATTCCCTCAACACTGCCTCGTATCGAGCAAATCTTATGATCACCATCGCAAGGATTATCGATGACACGTATAACGACATTCGTCTTAGTTCGGATACTTTGTAAAAAGCAACCGAGACGGCCTATCAATCTGCCCGCTAGGTGCTGCGGTATAGCGAACTCGTACGTGCTGGGCGGGGTGTTGTCCTTCTTATACCCGTTAATGCTTCCGCCTGAGTGAGGAAATAAAATTTTAGAGACTTTGCACGCGTCTCTCTCTAAAATAAAATCTTATCATGAAACCGTTTAATTTAGTTTAATTAGCTGTTCTCGTCAAATCGATACTCTTGATTCTACTGATAAACAGGCTGATGAAATACTTGGTCGATATTCACCTTTGCCGCTATCCGTGTTGCTTCCTTCGCTCTCGGCTTCGTCTGTGACGCTACCGTCTAGAACTACGGAAACCGGGCTATGATTGGCCGAGTCCCTCTCGTCGGCCTCTTGTCCCTGAGCACCAATGGTGTGTCCCTCGGATTGCTGCTCATCCTCCTTACGACTATACTCGTCCGTGGCGTTTTGCTCACGCGGCTCCGTCTCGCAATGAAGAGTCTGCTCTTGCCCGCTGGGGACGTCTTGAATTGTTTTCGTTCCGTTACCGATGCTCCTGCTGGAGGAACGTTTGGAGGAACGCTTGGTGGATGCGTTCGTGCCGAACATTTCGAGGTAGCTCGCACTTGGATTACTGCCCAACTCTACGTCTATAGGGCTGGTTGCCTCAACGCTATCCACGTCGTATCTAATCTGGCTGCTACTAAAGAAGGTGGATTGCGACGTTGAATTTCTAAACGGAATATCCATGCTCTCGCTGACCTTCCTCGGGACGCGAGTCGGTTCCTCTTGTCGCGTGTAATTGCAGCAGCTAATTGAGGATCCTTGGTCGAGCTTTTCTTGGACGTCGGAATCACGGAAGCTCGCAGCAGCCTCATTTGAAATCGCCTTTTCCCCGCGATTTGATTCCGCAGTCCCTCCTGTGTCATCCCATTCCTGTTCACCTCTGTCTATCCGACGGTGTTTGTACCAATAGTAAACGACGGCAAGGGCGACCGCCGGGACTGCCCACTTCATCAGCTGCACAGGAACCGGAGGATTCATAGTGCGAGTCCACGGTAGCTGCCGTTACTGGAAATTCGCCGATACTGAAATCGAGGCAGACAACAACAGCTTTTAAGTCCCCATTATTTCATACTTAAGCGAATACTTAACCGACTATTATTTCATGCGATTAGCTACTTGAAATATTTATATGTTTCAAATATCTTACATAAATACAGCATATGATACATATAAGATATATTTATACATAATACTTCAAATATTCTACGTGAAAACTAATAAAGACATAATTTTATGTTTTTAATTATCCAGTTACGAACGACGAAGGAAGCAGAATCTATTTTCCTTAATGCTAAGTGAACACCTGCTGATCAGTGATTAGCACGCGGAAACAGCCTGTGTAATACGAGACGGCGTGCCGACGTGGAATTCCGTCAACTTTCTTCCGTGCACGGCAATTAATTTCTCCATTCGTATATTACGATGAAAATTTGAATTCCGATGGAATTAGAATCACATTTTAATGAAATATTATAATTTCATTAGAGAACAAATTGGAGTGGAAATTCTATATGAATTAACGAAATATAAATCTTTCGTGATAAATAATCGCATTAAAATAAAATTCATATAGGTCGTATACAATTCTATACAATTTTTCTGATCTTTTATGGTATTTCAGTTCTGCACGAATGTCTGTTAAATTCTAAGCTCTTAATGTATATTAGTCCTTAAGCACTCGCGAAAACGAAGTAAGGCTCATGCTTAGAGACCTTCAGGAGACGTAATGATATATACAATGAGCGCTACAACAGTTCAGAAAATGTTATCTCAAAAGTATATATAGATGTCTGGATTATTTCAAAAATAGTATACTTTTCATTTAGCGATAACAAATTTAAAAGTGATGTATATAAACAAACAGAGTTATACCCTTGGGTTATCGCACACATTTGATGATAAATCAGCGCAAAACAACGATGAAACGTTTCGCGATGTCAAATGCTCGATAGCCAAGTAATCGCTGAAGCCTCGGATTACATCATCGGGGCGACGGAGCGAAGCACTATTGCGATCTCGACGGATGTACACAAAAATGTAAACGTGCAAGAATGTAGAACTTGAAAGATCTGAACTGTGGTATTTTTAAAAGTCTGACCAACAGCGTGGCATCTCGCGCCGACTTGCTTCACGTGGACTCACATCGACGTACGAACGAGCGTCTCCAGCTGGTCGCGATAACAGCCGTGTTGCTTCTCGCGCATTCGAAATATTTCGTCACAATCGCCAAGGGATATCTAGACTACGTAAGACCGAAGTCGAATCCGAGGCAACGCGCGCCGAAATTAATCGGCAGACCGATTACGTGAGCGCGCTATCGATATGCCAGCACGGCTGGAGTTGCACTACAACTCGCGGATTTTTCAACATGTGGTTCACGCTGGGGACCAGTTGGACCACTGGAACCGCTCGCCGGTTACGCAGGCGTAATCGTGTAAGACGGCATTCACACCGTGATGAAGATCTCCGACAACGTGTAAGACCACGCAAAAGAAGTGGCGCGAGTAAAACTTTTGGGAATAATTTAAATTCCCCTTCATCTTTTTTTTTTTTGGGTAAAGATGGAATTTCTCTAGAGTGTAAAGTTATTCTTTCATATAGGCCAGGTCTGATTTGCATTTCATTAATGACTTTACTGTTATCTCGATAGCGACTTGCAATCAGCTGATACGATTTCTAAGCCAACAGAAACAAACAAACGCAAAATTATCGCGTCCAAACCGGTGCGACGATGGCACTTTGGTTTGTTATGTTCAATATGCATGAGCGCGTAAGGCAATATCTTACCGCATTTCAACGATGCGTTCTACTAATTGTGGAATCGATGAAAAAATATGTGAAGGAGAGAAGTCCGCAAATACGGGAACATTCTGTATAACTGCGGCTTATAGTACTACAATACGAAAGGATTGATTCTGATGAGACATTACTAATTATTCTTCTGGAAATTTCATATGATATAACATCAATGAAGTATATAATTTTTTTTAAATCATTTAAATTTCAATATAACTGAATTGCAAAACAAGCCGCGATCAAATTGGCGTGGTTTTGAATAATTTTACATATCGAAGATTGGGTCAAAGTGCTAACTCGTTAAGTAGAGAGTATGTTGCATAACAATCAAATACTTGGAACTACCGAAAAGCGATGCGAAGAGTTCAAGTCTTAATTATTTTTCGGAGTAAAAAATACTAACGAAGACGACTAGCAAAGCGACGACACAGCATCATAGTGCAAAGGAGAAAGATATCAAAAGAAAAAGGGAACAAGAAATTAAAATTATACACGCGGAGTCGTTCAGTGCAAATTGCGACTACTGCACAGAGAAACTGCATCACACGATCGAATAAAGCAGAACATATTCTTTTCCTGCATTATTTTCTTTTTAACTTTATCGCTACGAAAAGCCATTATACAAGAGTGATTCATCAAAAATTTGTGCTATGCATGCGAAGAGTGGCGAATTTTTTCAACGCAGTCACTAAAAAGAACCGCCAAGAATAATTTCGCTGTGCGAATTTTAATAAATTTTTTTTTCTAGCTGACAGTTTGCACAAATATGTTTCCGCTGAAAAAGGATCCTTTATCATGTTTATCGAATATTGTCATTTACTTGTAAGACTTACTCATCACTTCTACGAGTATTGATAATCTATGCGGATTTCGAGTGAAAAAATTGGGCATTAACAGGAGAAACGTGATAGCCTTATAGGTCGAACGACGAAATACTGGTTCAACGTGCTCTCGGAATGTTGAATCTCCGCGCCGCGCAAGACTAATGAGGTAACCGGTGCGAGTAAACCTTAATAAAAGCATCAAGAGGAAAGGCGGAAATCGCCGGTAACTTGATAAGCTGAAGCAAACCTCGGGATTTATCTTGTAACCTTCAACTTCTCATCTATAAAAAAAAAATTGTACTGAAGTTCTCGATGACCGCAATCATTTAATATTATGTTCAAAACTGAAAGCAATCGTGTAATACTTTTGCACTGCAGCTCGAAATAAATTAGTTCTGCAATTTTTAATAAACCGATTAACGAACAAATGAGGTGGCCACAACGAATCATTTAGAACCGATCTTCTCTTATTTTGTAAAATAGGGATGTGTATTAAATATTTATGCGTAATAAAAGTCACTAAACTTGAGATTAGTAAACTTTACTCCGATTGGTCAAATTTCAATTTAATCTCAATCTGCAACCCGTAGTCTGATCTGGGCTTATCAGACCACGGGTTCAGATTGAGATTGGATTGAAATTTGACCAATCGGAGTAAAGTTTACTAATCTCAAATTTAGTAAACATTATACTCTGAGATTAGATTAAGATTAGATTGAAATTTGACCAATCAGAGTAATATTTACCAAGCTTGAGATTAGTAAACTTTACTCCGATTGGTCAAATTTCAATCTAATCTCAATCTGCAATCCGTAGTCTGACACGGGCTTTAAAGCTACGACTTTCGAGATAGACGTGAATTAGGAGCAGTGCGCGCTAGTAAAATTTTTACTTCTCCATGTCGTATTAATAAATTCAAAAGTGAAAAAGAACATCGCGGCTTTCATGCACACGTATGTTAAAGTTAAATTAAACAAATTCACGCTCGTGCAGATCTCGGCAGGGTTTCAATGAAAATAATACGATGTAAACAAACATGGATTAGGTTGAAATACCGAGCAACAGTTTCGTACTGATAGAGAGACGACGAATAAAGTTTGAAATAATTCTGATAAATAAAATGTCAATTTCAACCGTGACTCTTTCACTGAGACTCTACTAGCGTGCTACGCGAAAAGGAATATGGTTAGTAATACGACCATCATGCATTTCTAAAATCGTTACACGACATTTGGATATAAAGCCGAGGGGGTAAACCGCTGAGGGCATTGCGGTGTACAGATTTGCGGCATTACTGGGCATTAGTCCCTCGCTGGGATATTATAGAGATAAACTAAGATAACGAGATACAATAATGCCCACTGGGCATTAGCTGAGGAGAGTCCCCTATTATGAGATAGGCTTCTAATATGAGATCGCAGGTTTTCACCATTCAAACTTAATATTCTTTCGCGGCGATTACACAAATCTAACGAGACTCGCTCCAAGGGCAATAAATTCACGGTAGAACAAACAGACTGTGCCTATTAATTAAGTAGAAACTGTCTCATATTAGGAGTCGGACTCATGATAGAGGACTTTCCTCTAGGCATTGGTGTACATGAGTTTGGTCAGCGGTTTACCCCTCGTATAAAACCGATTTAACATTCACGGGAATACAAAAAAGTATGGAATAAAGAGGCTTTTATGAAATTTAACATATAGAATATAAAAAAAAACAATGTCAACGCAATAAAGTACGAAAACTTTATTAGAAAATAGTAGATTGTCTACTTTCTTCTCACGTAAATCCTTACGAAATTTAACATGTAGGGTATAGAAAACACACAAATATTAATACAATAAAGTATAATGAGTTAAATTTATTAGAAAATAGTAGAGAGAAATTCTCTACTTTCTTCTCAAGGGTATACACTTTTTTTTCCTAGTAATAACTTGTATTACTTTTCTGTGCACTTCTATTTAATTTTTCGCAATAAATTTCTCTAATTTGCCAGTTGCGTCGTGTAGCAATTTTTCTACATTGGTTAATCGTGTACTGGCGTCAAATAGTTAATAATAAACAATATTTAAAATCAGAAGATAACCAGCAGAGAGTTCATTAAGAACTGAAATAATTTTTGTACAAATATAACCAAAAACGTTAGCGCAAACTGTATATATACTTTTATTATTAGGTAAAAAAGCATTAAATAATCTGCGTAGGTAGAGACAAAACATTGTCTCTTGCACGTAGTTCAACGTGCAGCCCATCCTCGCCTGCGTACAGAACATCTAAATTGCCGCATATTGAATGTTACCTAAATAAACAATTTTGTTTACTATCAAAATTGCGAATACAATCGACAGTCTTGCACGAGATTACGCAAAGTACTCCACCGGTTATTCCAAGTACAAAGAGAACATAGACAAGAACGTCGGCTTCGAGGTAAAATGCAATACAAAAATCAGCTAAATACGATAAATAACACAGAGCGATCCACGTACAAGAGTCCACAATCGAGCTACAACCAGGAAGGGATGATCGAAGAACAAATATGCGAACAGTGTATCTTCGTGTCGTACGTATCGCTAACTAGAGGAGAAGAGAAGGGGGGGAGAGCGAGAGAGAGAGAGGAGGAAGAATCCGCTATTATATACAACTGGCTGGTCAGAAATAAAGTTGAAACATACGGGTATCCGTTTTCGGTATTCACGCCGCCCATCGATCCCTACACGCCGCCGGCCGTACGGCTACGTCCGCCACCGTCGCTCGTGTCGTACGTCCGGACTTCTCGGCCCCGTACGAGCGGAAGAAAGACGGTATTTGGGGGATGCACGGGGTAGAGACGAGCCAAAGGGGAACGGCCACGCACGAGAGGCACCCGCCGGGATCGCTTTACTTACCGATGTTACTAATGCTTCGCGGGGCCGCGACGGATCTGCGATCAACCGTGCACCTTGTTCGTAGGCCCCTGAAAAGACTTTCGGCGCGCCGTACGACCAACTTGCGGCGAAATTTCTGGCGAGCGCACGCCACGTGCTAGCAGTGTTTCTCTGAGTAACGGAATACGGATATGGCGACGGGCTCTCCGCCAAGCTCCGGCGGTTACCACTCTGGTAACTTTCCGTGGCCCGCGGGCGCTCGCGCGCACTCTACCGGCCGCCGTCGCGAGACGCGTGCGAGAAAAGGGACGCGCCAATCGCCTGTCGTTTCGCCCCGCCATTTCCGAAACGGCGAGGGGCTGATTAGTTGCTGGGTGAAACGCGCATTATTTCCCTAGAAAAGGAGAATAATACGCGCTGAATCAACTGATCACCAATCGCATCATGTCTGCGTGAGCATCAAATGCGTACGAAAGATGAAGCACACATATAAATTTAAAAAAATAAGTAATTAGCTTTAAAGCCTCGTCTACATAGAAGTCGTAAAGTCGTAGTCGTAAGAATAGTCGACTGCGATTGGTCAATTCTTATGTGTCTGACGAAATTGACCAATCGATTATTCTTACGACTACGACCATTGTAGACAGAACCGAGAATCATTGTAGCGG